ACATAACTGTCCATTGTCTGGAATTGCAGCTCGCTGTCGTACATAACTGTCCATTGTCTGGAATTGGCAGCTCGCTGTCGTACATAACTGTCCATTGTCTGGAATCGCTGCCCGTTGTCGTACATAACTGTCCATTGTCTGGAATTGCAGCTCGCTGTCGTACATAACTGTCCATTGTCTGGAATCGCTGCCCCTTGTCGAACGTACGTATGTTCATTACTAGGTAACGTAACTCGCACTGTTACACATATGTTAGTTCATGTTCTGAATATCGTATATATCCTAGAAGCACAGCTCGACGTTACATACCAACACACCTTTTTACGCACTGATTCATCCACATTACATTCAAAGTCTGAACTGGTAGATCTAGTCTCTACAAAGCATGATTCATGGGGAACATACGGGCTGAGAATCACTTCAACCATGGACGGTAGGGGTTTATGTATTATAACGGCGGCTAGGGGTTTCTGTACAGTATATTACCACGGATGGTAAAGGTTTCTCTGTACAGTGTTACCATGGATGGTAGGGGATGCTATGCAGTGTTGTTAAACAGCTGGGATCTTGCTAAGGAAATAATACTGTACAGAAACCCCTGACTCGGTGGTAATACTGTACAGAAACCCCCTAACCTCCGTAATAATATTATAGAGAAACCCCCTCCTCTACAATTAAGTGTGAAACGGAAAGCTCTGATCACGTTACTGATGTGTATTTAACAATCCAACGTTCTACTCTGTATTTATTGCTGGAAAGATAAAAATAAAGGAACTGGGGTATTAATTAACAGCTGTCTCAGGACGGACGAACACGATTTTGTGACTCCATATACCATCTTTAAACCTTGGCAATGTTACTACGTAATAATTTTCCTTACCCAAGTCGAGTCTCCTATAGAACAAGTAGAAAAAAAGATTAATGTTATATGAAAAACGTATTTTCTAATGACAAGAACTTTATTTACTAAAATATAAGATAGGTTAGGGACAATATCAAACATTTTGATAATTTCACTAAGAAGAGGAACCCCCCCCCCAGTTTCGAGCACTTTCTTTATTGTATTCATTTATATGTATTGCATCGCCAAATACTAGTTGTCGTTTTTTGTACTTAATCAAACTTACATTCGTTCGGATTGTTGCAGGATTCCAGACGTCGTTTTCTTCAATGTCCAGCAGCAGTGACGGTGTTACACCTGAAGAAATTCATTACTATGAAGTACAATTTGAGCCAGACTTACTTGGTAAGTGTTCAGAGGTATACATATTTTTTTTTTTTTTATTATTTCAAATATGTTCATATATACTAATAAAGTAGTCGGTAAGATTCTGTGGAATATACCGAACGACTAACGACATGATAAGTTTGTACTTTAGCCGGTCGTGGCTAAAGGAGGGTCCAAGGCTCACTTCCCTTTGAGTGAAAAATCGCGCTCTGCACTTTGAAACCGTGAATGTGTTAAAGTAGTGAAGGTGATACCCCACTATTCCATTAGAGTAGGCAAGAGTTGGCTGTGGGTGCTGTTTATTGACTACATTACCTCTAGGGATGGCTAGCGCAGATAGCTCCTATGTAGCTTTGCGTGATAATTATGAAACAAAACAACTTGTATTTGCTTCTTCTGGAATTTTAATTTGTTGTGTACATTACATATGAGAAAGTTAGTAAGTTGTGGACTAGAAACGTTCATCGATTTATCTGTCTGCTATCTTGGGTTGGATGTCATTTCGATCTATGGCTAAAGAACTCGCAGAGCTGGGAACGTGTCCTATCATAACATTTTAGGTACAGAAAACTATCGAAATTCCTGATCATAAACTTGAACATTCTTGAAATAGTTTTTATACAATTTTTGTTGTTGTTCTTAAGATTTATAATTTCCCCAAAAGGGGGCAGAAGGCCGCCTGGAGAGATCACCTGTTTTAACCACTCCAACCACTATACCGTAATGTCTTGTTTGTCAGTCAGTAAACACTATAATGACGTCATGTAAGGGACGCTTAACGTTGCAATTCGTACTGTTGTGACGTCAGTAAAACGTGCGCATGCTATGAATCACGAGAAGAATTATGCACTCTGTAGGCAGGCTACAACACAGCATGACATATGAACTTGAAAAGCAAGAAATAAAAATATTAGTTTCTCTTAATGGTTGTATTTATTGTTGAAACAGAACACTTTCGGGGACCCTGCGCAAGAACGTCTAATACTAAGTAGTAGTAGTAGTAGCATTAGAAGTTCTTATACTGCTCTGTCTTGTCGTTATGTGAGGAACGTAATAGCGGGCTTAATCAACGCAGAATGTGTTCGCTTATTTAGGTGTTAAACCATAGAGGTTTTAGCTCAAGTAACATAGATAGGAATGCGTTCGCTTATTTAGGTACTAGACTAATAGATGCTTTAGTTCAAGTAACATAGATGAGATTGCGTTCGCTTATTTAGGTACTAGACTAATAGAGGCTTTAGTTCAAGTAACATAGATGAGATTGCGTTCGCTTATTTAGGTACTAGACTAATAGAGGCTTTAGTTC